GTGCTGATCCATTTTAATAATGACAATATCCACACCCCTTGGGAGAATGTTGATCCAATTACCTACTTCATCTACAAATTATCTACTTCTTCCAAATATTTAAATGACATTTACTAATACAAAATTTCCCCCCACTTAAGTACTCCTTAGGAGGTTAAATTCCCAGTGGTACAAACAACTACAAAAGTTTAGAGATGAATGAACCTTCCCATCTTGATTCAGGACAGACCCTTTCTTTCTTGGGAACTGCTCAGGGTTGGGGTTTTTTAAAGAGTTCTCTGAAATCTTGAAAAGATCTGGTACATTCTAAATATTCTCTGCTCACCTACCTCATTGTTCCTAGGTTTTGTGTAGCGGGTTCCCATTCTCACCTTCCAAGCCCCACTGTCCCCTTCTTCCAGACATCCCATCATAAGCAACAGATGTTTCTGTCCTTACTAACAGCCCAAAGGCCCTGGCACAAGGACATCTGCATTCCTGTTGGTGACGTTTTTGGGATTGTTGAAGAAACAGCTCTCCCCTTCACATTTCCCTTGTTGGAAGATATGTTACAGGGAATGAAAGAGGAAGGGGACGTTTACTTGTTTAAGAAGCAAGCCACAATTCAAAGGGAAAAAAGAGCTTTTCAGTCTGCAGAGGGGAATCTGATCCCTGTTTCTTTCATTTGAAAAACTGGCAACATGACTACACAAGTTATTGCACAATGAACAATGAGTTTGTTTGTTGTTTGAGAAATGGCTTCTGCCCTTCAGTTCAATCTTCTGTACCACATTCTTTTTTTTAATTAAGAATTTATTGTGTGTGTGTGTGTGTGTGTGTGTGAGAGAGAGAGAGAGAGAGAGAGAGAGAGAGAGAGAGAGAGAGAGAGAGAGAGAATGTGCTTGAGAGCCTGGAAGTCACGGTAACTTCTGGCAACCCCTAGAGGGGCTAGGACGTTTCAGAGAAGTGGCTTGATAACTTGCCTGTGTGTCCCGGTTCTGGTATTCCTTGGAGGTCCCCCTTCCAAGTACTTGCCAGGGTTGGCCCTGCTAGCTTCCGAGATCTGACGAGATCAGGCTTGCCTGGCCTATCCAGGTCAGGGCACATTTCTACACAACATTCTTTTCCCCATGCCAAGTTACCTGGTGACATACTGTTGTGTACCATCGCGGACTGCACACACAGTTGGGTTCGCACGTGGTCATGCGAAGTAGCAAAGCTTCACTAACTAGGACAATAGCAGGCTAGGATCCTGAAATGGACCAATCGATCAACCCAGATCCTGGACTAGACCTATGGGTGTTGGTACACTGTAAATAGTCTATCACAGGATGTGTGTGTGTGTGTGTGTGTGTTGGGTGTGGTGTATTTGGGGATTTAAGCAGGACTTCGGCTCTGCTAGTTGTCTTCGTTTGAGTGCTAAATAAACTATGAGCTGATTTCACTCTACATGCGTTCAAACCCAGTATATTATACATACATTTATTAATAACTGTATATCTGGGTTTCCAAGAGACATTATCACTGATTTATAAAGAAGAATAACCAGTTCTCCCATTCTCGCCCCTGAGAATTTGAGCTTGAAAACTTCTAATTGTTTAACAGACACTAAATCCTGTCTGGCAAAATGAATAGACTATGATTTAGATCTGCACCCACTGAAAAGCACTCACAATAGTGCCAATCAGTTTATAATATAGTACCTAGGTATAAAATAAAATTAACAAAGACAAGGGGTAAGATTGGCAGAGAGAAGCAAAGGGAAGGAAAATTAGTTGTCAAAATCAACCATTTATAGAATAGCCAAATGAATCCGGATGACAGGTCAGAATTAAAAGAAGACATACACGTATGTTTTAAACATTTTAAAATGTTCTTGCGCTTTGCTACAAGTTGTTCTTTTGAACTAATTGTCCTTTATACTGGAAAATCAATAGAATAGAGACTTTGCTCAGCTGTGAATTCCCATCCTATGTACTCACCAAACAGTGAACCAGACTCTAGTGCTATCATCGGGGGGTGTACTGTTTCAGCACACCCAACTTGCATGACACCAGTGGACACTAGAACAAATCTTCTGCAGGTCCTGCTAATCCGAACTGCACAGACAGTGCTATACAAAACAGATACTTTTGGTATCTCTTCCTTGGGGTACCTTACTCCCAATGATTATCATTGTTCTATCACCACCAAATCCTTATCAAAACAGCCCAGGGCAGAGGTAGGGAAGTTTTTGGGTCCAAATGCAAAGAAAAGCAACATCTACCTGTGAAGCTGTTGGTGTGCCAGAAAATAAAAGGATGGGGGGCTGCACTTGGCAAGACTCACTGGAAGCAACCAGAGCCCCAATGGTGCTGGCTGACAGTGCCTCAGAGGTTCACCACAGCCCCATCTGGTGGCTGCCTGCGTCTGGGGTGTGATGATGGGCATAAAGCCATGACCACTGCCTTCTCCCATTCCCAATGGAGCATTCAGAGCCCTATGGGCTTGCCTCAGTTGTTTTGGTGAGGAACTGGACACAAAGCAAAATGGTCTGGTGTGCCACCGTCTGGCATATATGCTGGGGCTTCCCTGCTCTTATTCTAATGGCCGTTCCAAAATTCACTTCCTCATATACAGATCAAGGATACATGAATTAGTGTTATGTACATTCACAGTCTTTGCAACGTTTTTATATTTTGAGCAAAACCACCTGTTAATCTCCAAATATATTAACCTTCTTGCATCAAGGTATCTTGATTTCTGCAAACAAAAACATGCATGTATGAGAATATTTAGCCTTCAGAGTACAAAACTGACAATGCAAAGATCACTTGCCGGTTTCCAGCAAGGTGGGATATGAATTGAAAATAATAAACAAACAAACAAATAAATAAATAATATCTAATCCCCTGTAATAAAAGAGGGCTCTGTCTGAGTTCAGTGCACATCCAACTGCATAAGACGGCTACTGAAACTGGACCTTGTCTCCACACAGCAAGCTTTTTGAGTGCACCAGGTTGCCATAACATTTGGAGGATTTTTGTCTACACCGCTACAAACCTTCACCACAAGGAACATTTTGAATAGTCTTAGATGGGAAGACAGTTTTGTGTGGGGCAGCTCTAAGACATCCCCAACAACGCCAGTCTTAAAAACCTGCAAATATAGGTCATATTCCACTGCCCTAGGTAGCTTGTCCTCTTATACAGCTCTTACAATTAGATTTTTTTTTGCCAAAGGTTTAGTTGGCTACACACCAGTTCAAATGTCATCTTGCCCAAGAGCTCTCCCTGATAGCCTTAGGCAAGACTCTATGAGATAGACCCTTTCTACCATGAGAGCTCCACTAGATTGAGCGGAACGTTTCAAGGGAACCCTGAAAACAGCTTGGGGAGTCAAGTGGAAGGGGAGGTCTGTTGTGGCAGTGGAAATAACTGAAAATCACCTCTCTCCCATCTCTTGTGGGCACCAATGCCTTCTGCAAGTAGAAACAGATGTTGGGGTATAAACCCATAATTTTATCCTGTTCCCTGATTCATTGTGTTGGAAGTGAAGGACTTTGCAGTGTTTCTTCATCTTGGCAGAATAAGAGCAGGACATGATTCCTGTATCTCTATCCATCTCAGTTAGTTAGATTAGATTATAAATCTATCTGTACCCTAACCTGTCTAGAATGGAGTTCCTTAAATAAAAGAACTCATATTATTAAAAGGCTCTGTTTAACTTTGTGTTGTGTCCACGGACTGCCACTAGGGGTCTGTGTGCATAATCCCTAGTTTGGCTCCACAAACAACAGGGGCCAAGGATCCTGGGCCACCTTTAGCCCACCTATGGGAACTTTGGTGGGAGATTCAAACCCTGCAATGAGACTAGGGGTGTGTCTGGGGGTGGGGGTATATAGTTGACCACCGCCGGCCAGTTTTTGTCTTTTGTGTGCTATGCAATAAACGTTATCTGTTCAGCATGTCGTAGTCCGGTCCTCCATGCTTAGAACCCACTATTTAACACTTTGTTTCTGTTGGGCTCTGCTGCATTAAGTGCCTTGAGCACTCTGCTAACTAAATAATCCAACATTCTGCAAGTAGAAAAGGATGTTAGGGTGCAAGGCCATGATTTTATCCTGTTCCCTGATTCATTTTTGGAGACAACCACTGCTGTAAGGATTACTGAAAGAAACACTGAGATTTGTTTTGTTGTAACCGTATAATTTGTTTTTATTCCTAAAAGCTTTTGATGTAGTGCTTGACTTTTTACAGAAAAAAATACCTTTAGGAAATAACTTGATTAACGTTGTAAATGGCAAAGAATGGTTTGTGACTGCAATACTTTATTACTGCAATCCTAGAACACTTTCCTAGGAATAAACTCCATTGAATAAAATGAGAGTAGATTTGTTTACTTCTGAATTGGGATTATTCCCTTTAAACACCATAATACTGCTCACCTGCTTTTAAAAAAATTGTTCCTAAACTTGATCTTTTTATACATTAGAATGATTGTGAAAACAGTTCAGCCTTCTTTTGCACAAGCACATGATAAATTAGTAAACCACAAAGGGCTGTTTCACAGGGAATTGTGGAGGCAACTGTAAAACTGAAAAAAATAAAAAAAATATAGAGATGGTATTATTTTTGCCATTCCTTTGTGCCAGTAGCCACTAGCAGAATCAATTTAGGGCGTAAAGCTATGCTCTTTGATTTCATCACACTACATTAGAGTAATCTGGCACAGGTTTACACCACTTTTGGACATGCTCTCGTTGAACAGTTAAATAGTGTCAATGAATTAACAGACTGGCCTCTTCCCACTACCCTTAGAATGTTAAAACACGCCGAAGCCCAGAAACGACATCTGAACCAACCGCACAAAGCAGCCCTACCCAGCCTCTGACAAGCCGGCCCTTTCCTGCCTCGCTCTTCCCAGCCCTGCCATCGATTGCTCGGCACTCGTCGCCGCCAGGCTTTTCGACTAGGGCCTCGCCCCGCCCCTACTCAGCGCCCCGGATGAGAGTTCCGCCTTCCCTTCTTGTCATCGGCGGTTCGGCTCTCGGCCGGAGGCTGCCGCTCGTGAGAAGCCCTCCCTCCCGCGGTAACTTGGGGCGGGATTCGGCCTTTCAGAAGCTATCGCTGTGGCCGCCGTCTAGAGGCTGAGGTGAGACCCGACCTCTCTTGGCGGCGCCCTGGGACTGCTTGTACCCTCCCCTCCCCTGCTCGTGTGAATGAGCCGCGCGGCCTCCTTGCTTACTGGGTGGCGCCTGCAGCCCCCCTCCACCCTCCCGGGGTGCGTGTCAAAGGGCCTTTTAACCCTCGCGTGGCACAGACAGCCTTCGTCTATTGTTGTGCTTCGTACACTCAAGGGAAGCCCCCCCCCCCAGCGTGGAATGCCGTCCCCACATCCTGAGAGTGAAGGCGCCTTTTGGGGAAGGGAGGCCGGAGCAACTGCGGCTGGGATCTCACAAATGTCTGTCAGGGCATCCCCCTAAGGACTGTGGGTGTACTTCCTTTCAAAGCAGGAATCCTTCATCTGGTGCCTCTCTCTCACTCTCGTAGCTGGGTTGGGAAAGAGTTTTGGGTGGGGTCCTGGTTCAGCGCATCTGGTTTACATGTAGAAGGTGCCAGGTCCAATCCTTGGCATTTCTCATTTAGATTAGAACCAGTTGCTAGGTGATGTGAAAGACGTCTTCCTGAAGCCCTAGAGAGATGCTGCTGATCGTACAGACTATACTGACCAGTGGCTCGGCTCAGTATATTTTAGGGTCTACCGCACGGATACCTTGCTTATTTGTGCTTGCTTTCTTTTTTTTTTAAGTTTAGTGCTTTTAACAGCTGTGTGATGTGCAGAGATTCAAAAGTTTGTAGTGCAATTCTAACATGTTTCAGACAGCATTGGTCATGTTTCTGCCAGTTGTTGGCAGTCCAAGTGCCCTCATGTTCATGAGTGTTACTATATTGCTGCTCCCGTTGGTCTCTATTCCAGTCCAAGAGCCCTGCCTGAAGTGCAAGGGGCAACCTGCCTACTATTTTGCTGATGCCTATACCGTGCCCTATACCGTGTTTTCATTCGTTTTACTCTGACAACCACCCTGTAAAGTGAGACTGAGAGTGTGACTGACCCAAGGTCTAGAATGGGGATTTGAACCTGGATCTCTCGGATCTTAGTCCAGCATTCTAACCACTTGTGTTTTTCTTTCTTCAGGGTCACATACAGGATAGACAAAACTAAAAACTGATGAAAAAGGAACAGAAAACCCTATAAAAACTCCCAAATCTAATTAAAATCAGTAGCAGTAGCAATAGCCCCTTTGCCTCTGGGGGTTCATTGGACGAGCCCAGATGAATGGTTCTGGAGAGAGTATTCCATAAATGAGGTGCCATTTGTTCCTGGAAATCATTAGTAAAATGTGTGCCAGTTAAACCTTTGTGCACAAACTAAGTAATCTACAGTTTAGGGCCTCAGATTATGAGAGGCCACTAAAAGTGTGCATGCACACACACACACTGTTAGTGGTGGTGTTATGGGGCGTCTTCAACTTGACATATCTTAGGGCCTCGCCATGTCTTGATCTGGCCCTGGTGCCATTGACTACTGCTATGGGTCTTGGACAAATTATAACTCTTGAACTCTGAAATTATAAGGGTTTTGCAACCAATGCTCACTCTAAAGCTGTAGAGTTTTGTGAGCAAAAATTCTACTTTGTGGGCTACTGGCATTAAAGTTTTGAGTGAGTGATTTGGCTGCTGCATAAATTAGTTTGCTCTGGCACCGTCCTTCCTGAGTGAAGACAAAAATTTGTGAGCCGAGGCTAAAAAACTGTGAGCTAGCTCACACTAACTCAGTTTAGAGGAGAACACTGTAACCAGCTGCAGATTGGCAAACTTTTGTGAAATATTACATTACTAAAAAGGTATACAGCATGTCATAAAATGGAATTAGAATAAATTTTAAAAACGAGCAGACTACCCCCTTGTGAACTTGTTTGTGAAAAAGCATGAATGTCAACAAAAGTCAGTTGAGCAATCTTAAGTGTGTGTATGAGGGTGGCAGGGGAGAACAAAAATACAATGTACGTTTACTAAGTAAGAATACATTTATAAATCAGTGGAGAATATTTGTGCTGGGATCCTGTTGTTGCTCATTTGCTGGTTCCTTTCTGGTTGGTCATTTGCTGGTTCCTTTCTGGTTTCCCTACCCTTTCCCCCAGTCTAGCAGCTTTGTTTGTCTAGCTATAGCCTTGACAGTGGCCTAGTTGGAATTTTTCGGAAGTGCTATATTTTTAACTGGACAGGATGGAATGCTGTCCCTCATCTCAAGCATCTTTTGTCATACTTATTCTTTATTAATTGCGTCCTTAATTGTGCTTATCTTTCTCTTTTTATCTAAGGGTGACGATATTCTCGCAACATGTTTACCATCTTGTTTCATAATGATTGTCTAACAGTGCAATCCTACACAGAGCTCCTCCAGTCTAAGCCAATTTTAACAGATGTAGACAAGAGTAATTGCATAAAATTGCACTGTTAGGCTTTACTCTGAGAAACCTTTTCATAGGAATAAGCTCCACTTGATGCAGTAGGACATACTTCTGCATAGACCTCCTTAGGGTTGCCCTGTTAGAGTTCTGGGATGGTTAGCTTGTTCTAGAGGATTTTAAGGAGGCTTCTAGATCAAATGTGTTAAGCTACAGACTTCTTTATAACTTCCTACCTTTGGTAGGCAACTGAACTCTCAGGATTTTTATTGCCACTGCTTCTGTTTTACTGTTAATGGTTTTATTATTCATTTAATGATTTTTTAAATTATTTATTTTTAGAAAATATTTTAATTTTTTTAAAGGATACAGAAAGAAAAAAGGAATAGGGGAAAATGTGTAGGAAATATAATTACCAAAAACATAATGTAAGGGCAGTTTTACAGATATTGAGGACATTCCTTTATCAGAATAATATGTATATGTTACAAAGTATATGGTATAATTGCTTAACAAATATATAACACGATATTATTTTTAAATTAGTTATTGATTAGTTTTTGCAGGTTTGTTAATAGCAGTGTGCACTCTAAATTCAATAATATCTGCATAAGCAAAGAGAAGGACAGAAGCCTAATAGACAAGGCAGGAGGGATATACTAAAAGGTATCATGGAAGGTCCTACATGCACACCCTTTATCTCCATAGTTAATCATGTAGCAGCAGCTTGGTTTCTTTAGCTCACCAATGTGGGGGGGGGGGGCTAAAGAATCAGAAAAAGATCAGAAAAAAATTAGGGATTTCATTATGTTTAAAAACTGTTCTCTTTGTCTGTTTCAGGGCAATGCTTTGCACAAATTACAACAGCAAATGCCATTTCCCCTCTCTTAGTCCTTTAGTCATGTTGTTGAATGGCATACCATTGCTTCACCACTGCTAAGATTTGGAGTCTGTTTAGCCTTTGGGTCCCTGGACCATTATGGCAGCAAGCTACACACCTCCATTTGATGACCCTGGGGAGGTGAGAGAAGGCTTTCTATGCCCCTTGTGTCTGAAGGATTTGCAGTCATTTTATCAGCTTCAGTCTCATTATGAAGAAGAACATTCAAGTGAAGACAAAGATATTAAAGGACAACTCAGAAGTAAGAAACACTATATCTTTTCTGATTTTTGTATTGTATTGTTCTAAATGTCTGATATCATGGATGATTGGTAAGATTATATTGGTTACCAAACCAGTTTCTCTTTATGACTGTAGGTGTATGTAAGCTTTTTAGTTACACAGAACACCAAGTAGAATGGTATGGCAAATAATTATCAGGTGGACAGATACCAGCTAATGACTTCTTGGCACGAACTGTTTCAGTTCAATATAATAAGTACACTGATGAACATAGGGCTGCAGATTTTTGTTATGTTCTTTCCATACACTTCAGGGAATAATTCCTTTATTGAAGGAATTTGATTAAAGTAGATTATGGCATTTAAAAGGTAGAGCTTTTATAAACTGTTTTAGGCCAACAGAATTAAGTATGCAGTATGCAAACAAAGGCTGTAAATAGTCTTTTTTAATCAGACATTTTCTGAGTGGGTATTTGTAATGATTTAATATTTTGGTGTGTGTATTTCTTTAAATGATTAATGTGACTGCAGTAATGTAAGAAGAGTGATAGAGGGAGACAAGTGTGATGTGATTGGCTGGTGACTGAGAGTGTGGAAGGAGGGGTGTCTATGAGAGGATTCTGTGTGTGAAGTTTGAAGAGAGAGCATAGTCTGTGACTATGGGAGTTTTTGAGTCTATTCTGTGTGAATAAAACAAACAGTTTAGTCTGTGTGAATATAAGTTTTGAGTCTATTCTGTGTGAATAAGACAGAGTTCAGCCTGTGTGGCTATATATATGGGAGAGAGAGAGATTAGACTGAGTGTCTACGCCTGTCAGAGTGAAGTTTTGGGAGTCTGAGAGACTGTTTGTGACACCAAGCTTTGCCAGTTATATTTATAAGTTCCTTTAATCAGAAACCTATTTTGTTCTTTATTAAATAAATCATTTTTTATTCAAAGTTATCCCATAAATCAGAATAGTCCTTCCTCAGGGCCACATAGTCCTCTGAAGTGCCCAGACCCTAGGTCATTCTACCAAAAGAGAGAGATTTGGAATTTATAATTCCTGGTGGCAGCAGAAATCTACCAAGTTCATGTACACAGAGTGTGTTTTAAAGGAGAAACAGTCTCCCAAATAAGTGAGGACGCCACAGTATTGTACTCCAAAAAAAATGCAGTTGGTAGTAGAAATACTGATTGATACAGAATATTTTATAGTGCAAGCAATGCCACTGATTCTGAAAACAATGGACAAGAGGATTTCTTTCATTGAGCTTACTTCTGTTGATATAAGGGTCTTCGGTTGAGAAAAGAGTATGTATACTTTGGATTTTAATGGAACTTTCATAGTTATTGAACAGTTTTTCTGCATAGCAAATCAAATTTGTAATCAATGCAGATTCTGACTCCATGGTGGTTTACATGTGCGGTGACTGAAATATTTGACTTTTATGTAAACTATGCCTGTTGAAGATTTCTATGGAACTTGGAAACTTTAATTCTACTAGGACTAGAGAACTATGCGATTTAAAATTTAACAGTGGGTCACACACACAAAGATGTCATGCTTTGATGGTATGAATGGGGATTTGAACCCGAGTCTTCCAGATTCTAGTCTAAGACTCTAAACCACTATATCATGCTGGCTCTTCTAGCTTGTTGGACCCATACGCAATAAAGCTGTTTCTTGATCAGGAGTTTTACTGTCTGTCTTGGTATTTTCACACACACACACACACACAAACACATACAGTTTGTTTGTTTTCAGGTAGTGATTCTTAGGAGTGCTTTCATAGGATAAAATATGGCAACCCTTAGTGGCCATAGAATTTAAAACGTTTAATGTACAAATTACTAACAAAAATAGTTTAAGCTATGGAAGTTTAGTGTTTGGTTGTTTAGTGGCTGGTTGTGAGGCACTTCTTTCTGTTCAAAATAGCCTCGCACCCTCAGTGAATGCAAAAAGCAAGTGGTTATGTTGAGGTTAATTTCCTTCACTTGTAACAAGTTGTTTCCCAGCTCTCTGAAGATTGTTAAATGCGTCACTACACTACCTTTAAAGTGCTCTTGTCTTCTGCTTTGTCCAGTGTTCTCTTTCACAGATTGCTTTCCAAATTAAGCCTTTGTCTCAGGGAACAAAGTATTCCTGCGAGCTGCCAATAATTGGATTGATTGGTTAACAGGCACATTTGTATTCCCACCAGGTTGAGCCAAGTAGGAGTATTTTATCAGAACTGTGTTCCTATGTGAAGCATTTCCATAGCTCCAGTCATCTTCAGGGCTTTTTGCAAACATCTGAGTAATGCTCACAACATTCCTAAGAGTAGGTGGGAAAACAGCCCCAGGATTCTGCAGGTGTGGAAGGAGAATGGTCAGGGTCTCAGAGAAAACTAGCATAAGAAGGTTTGAGAAATGATAAGATCTCTTATGGTGTAATTAGCAGTACAATCCAAAACAGAGTTCAACCCTTTTAAGCCGATTGACTTATCTACCATTTGACCATCTTTCAGATCTGGTCCAAAAAGCGAAAAAAGCAAAGAATAAACTTTTGAAACGAGAAGATGACCGAAGCGACGGGGGTCCCCAGGAGCAATATGAATCTTACAGCTATGGTGGAGTGGATCCATATATGTGGGAACCCCAGGAATTAGGTAAATAATCGGGAATGGTGGACATAACAGAAAACTTCAAAAGGAAAACCTCGAGCTCCGATAGGGTCTGCCTATAATGATGTAAAAGTATCAAGCATCCACTGGCAATTTAACTAGATGACATTTATTAAATTCTAGGGCAACGCTCCAGTACAAATGTATAGATAATTAAATTCCATTAGACTATTTATTTTCTTGTTCACTTAGCTTTGTGCTGTATTGTGACCTCAGTTTATATTGCACTTATACAGTATCATTCCTTGTTTTTCAAAAATGGACTGTGTGGTATGCAGATTTGCTCACTATATGGCATTCTCTAGCAAACTTAAAATGGTACGCATGAACCACGTGAAGAGTGGATTCTGCCAGGGAACTTAGCCGTAGTGACAGCATAACGGGCTAGTTGTATTGGTACTGCACTGTGACATCTTTGAGGCACACCACCTTGGTTAGAGTTGTCCCTTGTGGCAAGATCTGTGTGTGCAGTAAGACTTCTAGTTCAGAAAGTCACAGTTTGCATTACCCACTATGATGTTCCTGAAAGCTGGGAGAACTTCAGAAGTAGTTTTTAACAAAGCACAAGGGTGAACAGGGAAATATGTGCCTCCAGAATCGTGTGCTTTTTTAAAAATCATGGCCACATATCTAGGGAACAGTATTGTATTACACAGTGGGGGGAAAATGCTATTTCATCTGTTGTCAGTCCCTGAAAAATAGTGCAGTTGGATGACTTCATGGCTGTTTAATGTTTGGTTCTAGGAATCCTTTCTGAATTTTGTGTGTGTATGTTATACACTGTAGGCTAAACCTGTTTTTATAGTTTGTAGTTGATGGGATTTTTAAAATATTATTTCTTTTAATTTGTTTAAAATATTTCTATACCCACCTTTCCCTCAGACATCCCAGGTTTGCCTTGCTTCCAATTTAAGTAAGAACATAGAAATTATGAATTTACAGCATTTGGGAGTATCTCATTTACTAAGGGGATTTTGTCTGTTAAGCGAGAGATTCAAGAGAACTTGCAGCAGCCAGTAACTTTTGCTATGGTTGTCTTCCATAATGTCATTTTATTGGTGGAAGCAAGTACAGTGTATATCAATAAATGCCGCATCAAGATACAAGAGACAGCACTAAAAATCTAAGATGCCATTGTTTAATGCCTGATGTAATGCCTGAGCAGCAACGGAGAACTAGAGATACCAGATCATAGTAAAATAACAGTTAACAGAGGGTGTAAAGTTGAGTAAACCTGGAGAGCTTCTTGACTGGTTATTTTTTATCAGGTGCTGTGAGGAGCCATCTTGCTGACTTCAAGAAGCACAGAGCAGCCAGAATTGATCACTATGTTGTGGAAGTCAATAAATTAATAATCAGGTTAGAGAAGGTAAATGGGCCTTCCTCCCTCCCCCCCCGGAAAAATGCTTAGAAATCATATTTGAACCATTTATATATGCTACAAATACTGCTTTTGATTTGTATTGCTATGCTGTAAATCAGTTTATAATTTAAGAGCAGATTATCATCTGAGTGGAGCTTGAGACAGACCATTTCCGTAGTAAATTCCATGCATTGACGTTTTTAAATCTGCATGTTATGTGAAATTTTCTGCAGTAGATTTTTCCTTATCAGGTGCAAACCCAAAGTTTTATTCTTCTTCTTTCCCTGCATTTTTGGAACTCACTAAAACTGGGGATTCTGAAAATGTGGGGAAAGAAGGAGAAAACGTTGGGTTTGCACCTGGTGAGGAAAAAAATCTAGTGTGGAAAATTTCACATAACATGCAGATTTTAAACGTCAGTGTGGGGAATTTAACTACTGCAGAAATGGTCACAGAGTAGCCAGTGTCACCTCTCTTAATATTTTCCTGTCAAGGAAAAAAGGGAGGGGGGCACTCCTGAACATTAGTGAATGTAGGTTTTCTCATGTGGAATCTGGAGATGAGAAGAATTCTGTTGATCCAAGATCTGTAAACGGATATCTGATTAAACCTTAGTGGCATTTCCTGTTGGCAGAATTGCCAGTTAACATGAAATGGCTCTGCCTCCTGCTCCAAAGACTGTGTATTCAGAACTGAGTAGATTGTATGACTGTGAAGGACTCTGTGCTTTCCTTTGCAAGTTTTGTGCATACTTTAGTTTTGAGGTTTGAAGTTTTAGAATCTCTATATCTTCCTTTTGCTCTCTTTGCTATTTATAGGTTTTCCTCACTTAAAGAGACTATTGTCTCAGAGCTTTCTTGCCTATCTGCTTAATTTTTCTTTCTTTTTCCCACTATCTGTATTCCCTTATGGGCGTTGCTGTGGTAGCTTTTAACATGTTTGACCAGTACTGAGGTAACAGAGTTATGTACAAGAGTGATTTTATAAAGTCCAAGATGTTCTGAAAGGAATAATAAGAAGGCAGAGAGTTTCTTTCTTTCATGAACCAGTTACCTGTTATTTTTAAGCACTGTGCAGTTGCAATTTTGTCTCAATAGAAAAGTGTACTTGGCTGAACTCTTTTGTGGTCCTTCTCCTTTGTCAGCTTACTTCCTTCGACAGAACCAATACTGATTCTGCAAAGATAAGAGGTAGGTGTTAGCGTTCTAGACATTTGCTAGAGTTTCCGGGTTGGACTTCACTGGTTATATTTGACCGGCTTTCTCATCCTATTACAGCTATAGAGAAGTCTGTTGTGCCTTGGGTTAATGATCAAGATGTGCCATTTTGTCCAGACTGTGGTACTAAGTTCACCATTCGGAACCGACGCCACCACTGCCGCCTTTGTGGGTCTATCATGTGCAAGAAGTGCATGGAACTCGTCAGCCTTCCCTTTGCAAGTGAGTACAGTGGTCTGGTATAAGTAATTTGGGTTCATATTCTGATGTTTTTCCAATTCTTGTTTAATTCCTCTCTATTTGTAATCCTATGGTTAATAGTCCCATATACTAACTCCTGCCTCCCAATAGCCAAGAAATTTAGACAATAAAGGGTGCTGCTTAAATGTAAAAATACTTCCTTATCTTACTCTATAAGTCCTTGAACTCATTTATATAGATAAGGGACATTGTTTTTACAACATCCCACCCTTATAATTCCTGGTAATTCTGTTTATCATAAAACCAAGATGATTTGTCCCGTCAGCCTGCAGATAGACTCAGTCTACCTGGAGAAAGCTGTAATCTGGCCAGATTTCATGAAACTCTAATTTCTAAAATGGCTGTAATAGAAATTTTTAAAAATTGCCTTGCTCCTAAAGATGCAAAAAGCTCACAACTGATTTTTGTGCAGCCAAAACAGATCTTCAACTTCTTTTTTTGCCAGTTTAATCTGTTATGCCTCCATAAAGTTACATGGCTTCAGAGTTCCCATTTAAACTATTAATTCAAATAAGGGCAAGTTATGTGTATTTGCAAAGGTCAGAAAGTGAGGCTTCTCTGTAGAAGGAAAATGATGGCTGATCGCTTAGCCAGACAAGAAGTAGACTGCCTGATAACACAACAGAGCTCAGACAGCTGGAGAAGGGGATCCCTTGAGAGAGAGTCCAAGAGGTACACAAAGAATATAGTACATAGCTCATTATTCTAAGGAATAAGTGTGAGGCTCTGTAACTAGGGTAATCATCTGATGGAAACTTACGCTGATAATTAATCTTCTTTAAAAACCAGGCTGGTAACTTTAGAGATATTGCTAAGTGATAATAGAGGTGTAGGCTTGTGTCCAGACTGGATATTCACGGAACATTATTTTCCTTCCTCCCCCCTTCCACAGCAGACTGAAATGCCCCAATTCTATTCCTGTGGAAGAGAGGACCCCAAGAACAAGTTTGGGGGACATTGTGGGCTGTCATGCTTCATGGGCAAAAATCCTTGCACATGTGGAAATGTTAATCTGGATCCAGCCCATAAAATAGGAATAATTGGGTGGTTGGAAAATAGCTATCCTTGGAACAAGCCCTGTTTAGGGATTAGTCATATCTGGCTTGCAGTTATATCGCTGTGCAAAATCACTGGGCTACACTGTCTGTTCAGTACCAAACTAGCTTAGTGATTCTGTACAGTAATGCTTCTTTTAAAAATTATTTTTTACATGACAGAAAAAAAAATCCTGATTTAATTCTTCCTAACAAGCTTGTAAATTAGGCTTTACTATTCCTGGTTTAGGATATGTAACTGGAATTGAACTGAGTGTTTGGACTTGGGTTCAAGGCCAGTGTTTTATTCTGGATGTTGCCTTCTGTTCCTAATGAGATATTGGTGTGTTCTTCCAGGCAAGCTCACCACTGCCAGCAAGGAGGTCTTGGCCTCTCATGCAAGCCCAAACTGCTCACCCAACAGTGTCCATGGCTCTCGCCGTGGCAGCATTAGTAGTGTGAACAGTGTGAGCTCTGTCCTGGATGAAAAGGATGATGATCGAATCCGGTGTTGTAGGCACTGCAAAGATACCCTGCTCAAAAGGGAGCAGCAGATTGATGAGAGAGAGTACACACCAGACATTGTGAAACTATATGAGGTAAAGTGGTATTTGTTCAATTGGATGGGGGGAGGCTGGGAGTGAGTAGAAAAGAAATGGAACTTGGGATAAGTTGTAGTTTTTAACCATTATTTAAATAAAGTCCAATGCAGTATTCAGGGCTTAAGGTATCAATAAAATAAGCCTTTATTGGATCCCGCAGTCTACAAACAAGACACTGAAGAGATAACCAGCGAGAAGAGAATGGAAATTCTTTTAAAGAAGTATTTTTCTGATGGAATGTGAAGTTGGGTGGGTTGGTTGGTTGAAAACAAGATACTGAGAATCTAGAACTGAAACTTTTTAGTTTGCTTGGTCCTGGATTCATGTACGGTCCAGGCTGTTAGAGGATGAAACTCATAATCAAATGATGGGCTAAGCATGCAAAAAAAGAAAAGAAAAGAGGAAAGCATGCAAGTTGCTTACCAGTTCTCAGAAGTAAAGCTAGTTATTGACAGGGCTACTTTGATAGATGTGCTTGAACTTGAAATGTTTTTTAAAGTCTGTAAGTAATTCACTATCTCAGGCCTTGTGGCACCCAGTAAGTCATGGTTGTCTTGGTTAAACAGATCTTTTGGTTAGTCAATCTAGCAGCTATTAAAAGACCTTAACGCACACAGCAGGAAAAATAGAAACCTTGCTAAATAATTCTGCATACGTCCCTTTGATGCTGGGTAAGAACTAATCTATTGATTTTATTAATTAAACAAGAAACTCCGACTTTGCATGGAAAAAGTTGACCAGAAGGCCCCAGAATATATAAAGATGGCGGAATCATTAAAGTAAGCTTCTTCAGCTATGTTTTCTTTTAAATGAGTATTATACAAAAACTGTCTTTAATACACATGTAAGGAGGTAAAAGATGTTATCTACAGATATTTTGCTAAAGTGAGATATTGCTTATTAATAATTTTGACATGATCCTCGTAATACACTATTTTTGAAGTCCAGGAAGTCTCCATGCAGGTTCAGTGTGGTGCATATGTGAATGTGCCCTTAGCCCGTGAGAACTAGTGTAATGTGAGAGAAAATTCTGGCATTCAATAATTTGGTTTGTTGTGGGCGGACACCAGGTCTTTCAATGTAAAGTCTTGTTCACACAGTACTTTTGTTGTTGTTGTCACACAGTTGAGTCCAACTCTTCCCCAAATGACAAAAGAGCTTTATGTAGTCTTGATTGCACCCCAAAGTAATACATGGGCTTGGATCCAGTAGACGGAAGTAGTTCTGTCCATGGAGCACAGCTCCTCACCTCCTGCAGCCACCTAAAATGCGTTCTGATGGGCTGCTTCTGGGGAAGAGGGGATTCTGCCTCCCCCCAGAACATCATGAAGATATATTGGATTTTTACCAAACATTCCCCTTGATCTGAGCCAAAGAGTTTCTTCCTAAGGTAGTAAAAGAAATATAAAAAAAGACGCTTGACAGTGCTTCCAGCATTCTAACTGTAAAATGAAGGTGTGCTCCTATGATATATTCCTTTGTTGAATAATTTGCAGTTCAGTTAAAAAATCCTGTTTGATACCTTTCTCTTTGACAATGTTGTAACATGTTACGACGAAACGTTCATGTTATTATAACATGTTATTCAAGTGGGTAGCCACATGTTGGTCAGAAGCAAAAGAACAAAGTTTGAGTCCAGTGGCACCTTTAAGACCAACAAAGTTTTATGCTGGGTATAAGGTTTCGTGTGTATGCACACTTCTTCAGATAAGGGTAGTGATAGAAATACCTATTATTAAAGAATACAATCTTAGCATTTAATGGGTTTTGTTTTAATGCCTTAGTGAACTGTCCAACACCCTCCTGAATAAATAGTTGAATAGATGAAGGCTGGGATTCCGAGGAGGATTGCTGTGGACACAAGGGATTTCCACTTGTAGGGTGTTACTTTCCTCCTCCCGTAGCCCAGACTGCCCCCTGAAGTGCTGGGGAGGTCTGCACTGCATTGTATGTGTGTATATGGGGATTTGTGAAAAAGGAATCAACTTCTTTGGGTTTGTAGGGGAAGGAAGCAAAAATCCACTTCTGATGGCTGCACTGGATTCACCCCAGTGTTCTTTCTGTGTCAGTCTAGGTACAAGGATGCCTGTATTCTTTGCACTTGATAGAATGAACCATGAATGGTGCTACTTCCCAATCTAAAATGGATAGTTGGCTGCTTTTGTATTGTGCATGTTGTTGAAATAACAAAGATACTGAGTGCACCCACAATTCTGTAATATTTCGTGTTGCTGACATATTCCTATCCTCACCGGAATTATTAACAAATGAGCTCAAACTGGAAATTCAGTTTTTTGATAAACAACTCTAGATTCTCTTACTGTGATGTTAAGGGCTTAAGGAAAAGTAAAGACTTAAGAATTTGCACTAACGTGTTTATAGTAATTTAGTTAAAGATGTGCTAATTTCATACATTTCTTCCGTTGAGTGACCTCTATGGCTTTGCAATTGATAAGATATAATTTAGATAAAGACTGCAGAGCACTTTGTGCAAAAATAACTGCTATCAATGAGGACTGTAACAAGCATGTTTTCTTCCAGTGCTGGGGAGACAACCTACAGTCTTGAACATGCTAATGATCTGAGAATGGAGGTGCAAAAAATGTATGAGTTAATAGATGCCTTAAGGTAAGAGAGACAGCTGTTGGGATGAGATTCTGTAATGATTGGTGTCTTTAGGGCACACTCTAAGCACACTGAAGCCCATTGGTTTCAGTCAATTAATGGTAATGATGGCCTTAGTGGGGCCACACTTGTGTTGAGCTGTGGGGCATTAGTTGGGAACTATCTGGTTCAAAGGATGTACCCAACAAATGAAATTGAGTTGATGATGCAACTGTAGAAACTAAAATCCAGTAAAATCCAGTTAGTGTCCCTGTTAATTTTACAAGTACATGTGATAGTACTATGACTGGGCAGAAGTAACATGCTTAAAAATGCTAATAAAATACTGTCATGTGCCTACCACAAGCCAACTGCACACACTACAGTGTCTTTTAATCACCTAAACCTTTAGCATTATTTATAACTAGGAAGACTTACAGGTGTATTGTGCTTTGTTTATTGGTTATAGCTTGTTGCAGGCACTGCTGACACATTTATGTGTTTGATTTAGCAAGAAAATCCTAACTCTGGGCTTGAATGAAGAGTCTCAGCCTCACCCCAAAACATTACAGCTTCAGAGAATGATCAGATATTCAGCAACACTTTTTGTGCAGGTAGGTCCTTTTCTGATGTAAGAGCTGCTCTCAGGCGTGTTACCACCGTGTTTAGCAACATAATTAGAAGGTGACATAATAACCTAAGGCAAGAAACCTCTTACAGGATATTTTAATGCTTGGCATCCTGATTCAGAAAACCCAGAAATATTTGTAATATTGATAAACCCTTGGTTACTTATAAGGGATTCTTATTCATCACAGATAACTAAGTATTTACACCAATAATTTATGAGACAGATGAAGGCTTTTGTATTGTAGTGCTAAGTGTTGTAGGTAAAAGATGCTGAATTTGAATTTTCTAAAAACTGTTATCTGGGGGCAGCTCCCCTGCCCACACAAAACTTGCTCCATTCCTGCCAGAACACAGATTGCTTCCTCTCACATCTCAGTCTGCAGATGTTAGCAGAAGCTTATAGGAAGTTGTTCAGAGTAGTTTCATTCACAGAGGTGCTTGTATGTCTGAAACTGATCTACTCTTCTGCTGCATTCCTTGTTTGCATATCTCTGAAGTCAAAATGGAAGTATGAATAAAGTGTTGCTGTTGTTGTTAGCCATTCAGTTGTGTCCAACTCTTGGCGATTCTATGGGCCAGCTCTCTCCACATTTTCCTATCTTGTACTGTTTCTTTGGGTCGTTTCATGCTCAGGCTGGTGTCAACTTATATGGTGTCTAGCCACTGTGTTCTTGGGTGGCCCAGTTTCCTTTTGCCGCTAACCAATCCAAGCGTAATTGCTTTTTCTAGTGAGTTCTTCCGCATGACATGGCCAAAATAAGTCAGTCGCTGTTTTATGATTTTTCCTTCCATTGACATGTCTGGCTTTGTGCACTCCAATACTTGCTTGTTTGTCACCTTTGCTGTCCAAGGAATGCACAGTATGTATACAGTATCTTTAGCTGGTTTACAGTACAATCCCAAGAAAAGTTATTCCAGTCTAAGTCCATTTCAGTGGGCTTAGACTGGAGTAACTCTTCTTAGGATCGCATTGCTAAAGAATTGGAGGCACAAGAAGTGGTGAAGACCACAGACCGATTTTAAAGGATTAGATAAATTAGAGAGTAATCTTATCAGTGGAAATCATAAAGCAGTAGGTCTAGCTAGTGCCACTATGCATGTACTGAATTGGCTCTCATCTGCATCCTTCTGCTGGAGTAAGGCTTATAACGATATGGAAGGAATTAATTGGATCTATTCCCTTTATGTATAGTTCTCTTTAGTGCTAATTTTGGGTGAACCTTGGATCTGGTAGGTAATAGTTTGAATTTTTTTCCCTCAGGAAAAATTGCTTGGTCTGATGTCCCTGCCAGCCAAAGACCAATATGAAGAATTAAAAGAGAAAAGGAAACAAGAGATGGACAGAAAACTACAGATGGAAAGACAGGTGAATGCTCCAGCGTGAATATATTTCTAGTAGTCATTATATCTGCATATTATAGTTAAGATCAAAGAATCACTAATACTTTTTTGAATGACTGGTGTTTCTCTGAAACCAAGTAAAATCAGTGGCTTGGAACCTGTGCAGTTTAGAGTGATGTAGACAGTGACTTTCCCAACTCCCTCTGCCATTTCTGGCCAGTATATCCCCATGATCCTCAAGGGTGGGTGTCACAGTGGGGAGCCACAGTGAGATCCACAAAAGTTGTCCTTTCGTGAGTGGAAAGGCCATTCAAGATCAAGCCAGTGTGATGTACTTCTACATAATGCATTTAGGGTTACTGTGAACTTCAAGCCTTTTCCTCATGATAACTTCTGTGGCTTGGAGCTCCTGAAGAACAGCCCCTTCCAGCACTCCTCGGGGAAAAAAAATTCCAAACGGGAGGAGCCTATATCTGAGGCAGCATTGCTGTGAGCAGAATCTACCACATAAGTTTGTCCAACACATCCTGGCACTTGACATGTTTACCAGGGTGCATGAAGAGAGGCCGTGCAGCAGCTCCCACAGACTATCATGAAAAGGTGACCCCCACCCCAACAGATGGTGCTGTCAGGACACTAGGCAGCCTTATGTGATAGGGTTCCTGTGGTGGAGGGGTGTTGGCCTGTGGCAGAGACGGGGGGGGGGGGACAGCCTGGTGAGGAGGGTACGTGCTGCTGCACCCCACCTTGCCCGTCCATCAGGGGATAAAGAGGGCAAATGGTGGCTTTTTGCCTCCTTGTGTCCAGTGGGGGATGGCTGGCAGCTTCTCTCCTCCCTACTGGACAGGTGTGTGTGAGTGCAATCTTTTCGCCTCCTCATGCGCTAGTGGCAGGCAAGGAGGCTGGTGGCTCTGGCTGCTATCGTTATTTTTTAAATCGTCAACAACATCTGTTAGAATATCTTTAAGTACAAAAAGTGTTTGGGTATTATTGGAACATGTAAATACTGTGATAGAGTATTCAGATTCTTGCAAGATCATCAATAATGTGGAGCAAGGGAGAAAAAGACCTGTTCTTTGATATCATTAGTTGCTGCATAAAAACTGAACTTCTGGAGCTGTTCCTTGAATAGTTTTGCTTGTTTTTGCTAGGCAACATTTGACTCACACAGAAAACTAGAGGAGAGGCACGTGGATTTTGTTTCCAGATCTGTGGCAGCATCCAATGGAGAGATTTCCCATCCAAGAAGGGCTGCAGTGAAGAAAGCTGAAGGTTGGTTACCTACTTGTGCAGACCCACTTCTTCAGCAGATTGATAACATCACATCCTTCATAAAACAAGCAAAGGCAGCAAATCGTCTAGATGAGGTCCGGATGCTGCAGGAGAACCTGCGACAACTCCAGGATGAGTACGACCAACAGCAAACGGAAAAAGCCATCGAACTCTCCAAAAGGCAAGCTGAGGTGGAGGAGATGCAGAGGGAACAGTTGCAGATCCTTTGCGAAAAGGAATGGGAGAGGGAGCATAAAAAGAAAATGTCTCAGCACTCAAGGACACGCTCCCTGGACTTCAGAGAAATTAGGCACAGTAAATTAGAGATTGCACCAGACAGTCTAAACCAAATAGCACATGCTTTGGATCTAGATACGACTCTGAGCCAAAGTAACCCAGGCTCTAAAGTATCTTTCCCAAGGGTGAGTGACCAGGGGCCAGCCGGTGAAAGCCCAGTCTTCCCTGGCCAACCTCCAGGAGCCCAAGAACACAACAGAGTACCAGAGCAAAAAAAGACTGTTGCACTTAACCCTTTTGAAGAGGAGGTAGATACTGGCACTTTAAGGGGGAAACCCAATAATCCATTTCCTAAAGACTCTTCCCCGGTGGCTTCCTTGCCCACCAAGGCCTTGAATAGTGGTTTAAAAGAATACAATCCATTTGACGAGGAGGACGACTGTCAGCAAGCGAATGGAGTGGCTGTTAGTGCTCCGAACCCTTTTGAAGAGGATATTGGAAATCTACTTCACACGGCTGCTGGGAATCAGGAATCCCGGGATCCATTTAAGTTATCATCATATCCCTCCACAAATCCTTTTGAAGTCGATGATGATGATAGTGAAGTGTTGAGCGAAGATATCATAGAAGAGGAATTACTTCTCCAACAGATAGATAATATCAAAGCTTATATTTTTGATGCCAAACACAGTGGGCGGATGGACGAGGTAGAAGTGCTGACTGAGAATTTAAAAGAACTGAAGCGCACATTAGCAAAACAGAAGGAGAAATCCAGCTGCTGAATCAGTGGCTATATCTGCGCACACACCTTGACAGTCCCTCATTTGTCCCAGAGGCCAGGCAGATGGGATTAAAATGAGTAGCAGGTGGAAGAGGGAATTCTAGGGGTTGTATCCAATCTTCTGCACTTTGGTGTTGGGCATTTTCCACTATATTAGTAAGACTTGGCAAACATTGTCCGCACTACTTATAACGCTGTGGTAACCTAAGAGCTGTTTTACATTTTTTAATCTATTTTAAATTTCTCACAACCCGTTTTTATCACAAGCAGACTTTGTAAGAGCATGGTTATGCTTCTTAGCATCTCCTCAATTTCTGATGGTAAACGGCAGAGGGCTAATGGGGGAAATGGATCCTTTCAAGCACTTGAAGTGAGGCAGGAAGCAGCCTGCAGCCCTTCCCTTGGTGTGTGGTTGCTATTGCAGTATTATAGGCTGGCCTCCTGAGCCAGTTTTTTTCATTAGCCAAGGGACCAGATTGTCTTGTAAATCCTGTATCAAGCATGTCTGATAGAGCTAAGATGGTATCTTTCTAGCAGATGTGTTCAGCTGCCACATGTGCAAAGAAGCAGTGTTAGAAAGCAGGTTCCTGAGATCCAGTGACTTGTTGAACTAAAAGGCCAATGATCTGACTGTGCAATACAAAAATAATATAAAGGGATTTTAAACTAGATATGGGTATTTGTGATGTGATAGATGTAGTATTTTTGTTTTAGGACTCAACCCTTGAACCCTGTCTTGAAATTATGAACTATTTTGTCCTCTACTGTCCAATTTGTTTTTTTCCAGGTCCCACCTACATTACAAGCATAAACTGGTTTTATTATAGTGGCTTGTTCCGGAACTAGTTCCCAGGGTTTCTGGAGGGGACAGGGGTTAAAAGTGCCACAGTAGCTGAACTGATTTCTGCTTGCAGCATGGTCTTGAATTTGATATTCTTTGGCAATTACTGTAGGGGAAGTACGTAATGAGGTCTACTACTAATGGCAAATCCAAATGGGGACCAGTTGTAGTTGCTCTAGTCATCAACAACAGGATAAAAAGCTGTCGCTGACTTTGTTACCTATGGCAAAGCTTAACTCCTCTCAATATTGAAATAGAAGGAAAAGTAAGGGATATTTTCAGCTGCTGCGTCTCTAGAGTGAAAGAGTGACTGTGACATGGGCTTCAGGTGTGCCCCAGGTTAGGAAGCTCTGTGCCCAGGTAGCTCTGCAGTTTCCGTTCATTTCGTTGATGGGGCCTATGCAAGCCCTGCTTTAATACATGGAGACTGTGAAGCAGTAGTGGTGGAGACTGTGCTGCTTGTTTCCCCATTTGCAAAGCTGTGAATGCCTGTCTTCTAGGATTTCCCCCCCCCCCCAATCTTTCAAATGGGAACTGGAATATTTGGGGAAAGTTGAAATAATTGCAATGGAGGGGCTATTGTACCGTTGGTCGGTTTTCACTTGTACTGTTCAAATTTGGTCTTTTAAATGTCACCACTTGAAGAGGAAGCTGGACTTCTGCTTCTTTTTTGGGGGGGGATGACAAATCCCCCAAGAACTCTACCAGTTTTGCTGCACAAATCCAGAACTTTTCACTTACATTTGGTAAAGGTCTAAATGCTAGATAGCGAACAATAGGGGTCACCAATGAGCGGAAGAACACTAATGTTGTATTATTAGTGGGGTGGGTAATAAGTTCAAGAACTAAGACAGCAGTTTACATATTAAATGTTATGTATTACATCTTCATCTATTTGCAATGGGGCTTTAGGCTGTTTTTAAAAAAGCATAGAGGGGAAAACTGGCTCAACTAACTGGCTGCATCCTCAAAAGCAGCTCATTTTAATCAGCTTCATCCGTCCTGGGGAAACTGATGTGTTCAGACCCAGCACTCACTACAATAACTGCAAGAGAAAGGTGCTTATGTCTTTAATATTTTTTGGAAGGGAGTTTGTGGTGCTTGTAACAAACCTAGTAGGACTGAGGCTGAATATCAGCATCAGCCAATGGGAATACAAGCCTGGTAAAAATGCAGTAACCTAGCTACAGCTGTATACTTTTTAACAGAGCCCTACAGCTTCTAAGTGACTATCAGCTAAGGCATAGCGAGTCATATAAAGCAGAATCTATTTATGATGGGCATCAAATTTACCTGGTATCCTTTTACCTAGCCAGCCAAAATAAATGTTTCAGTGGCTTCACATTTTTTAAACATGTAAAGCATTACTTGCATTCTGCCATGTATGTACTTCATAGCCTAATAGATTAAGACATACTTGTGTATTGATGTACTTCTTCCAGCATCTGTGTTGGTTTGTAGCTCCATGACTGCAAGTCAATGTGGAAGGTAACTAGCCTTCTCACTAGGATAGCGATAGAGCCACCTTTTGACCAGCCTTCCATTTGTACTACTGAACTGACACTATGAAACGGAACAAAACCTTGTCATTGTGAGATTTAGCATTAATGACATCTGTTTATACACTTGCATGCACTACTCTAGTTTGCAAGCTTTCTGATGAAATGAAATAAAATAACATGTTTATTTTGCGTGTATGGGTACAGTGATTGTTCAAGAGGATGAGGGAAAAATGCTACATGAACTGAAGATAGTAGTTCTAGGTGTACTGTTTGATTCTTATGATCTTTAGTATTTTATTATTTTAACAGACCTTACTCCTACCCCAGCCCTGGAGTTTAAAAGTATTATTGAAGGAACAATGATAGGAAAAAAATTACTAGACCTAAATGGAGTTTTCAGTATACAGAAGTCATTCTCTCTCCTCTTAAGCATCAATTCCAAAATAAGATGGAAAGTTTCCTACATTTGTCTTCAGCTCAGAAGCAGTATGCATCTTGCAGTATCATTTGAAACACAAGAACAAGAGGGAGTTACCTACTGTAGATTCTTCATACAATTATAGCTTATTTTATTTATATCCCACCCTTATCTCCCAATAGGGACCCAAAGCGGCTTACACTGTTCTCCTCATAACAACCCTGTGAGGTAGGCCACCTGGAAAGTTTCCATGGCAGCATTGTTTCCCAGATCCTAGTCTGACACTTTTAACCACTACACCACACTACTTTTCCTGAGTGAAACATACACATTTCTATTAACCATACCCTACATCATGTACCTATGTTATTTTTGTTCAGTCTTCCTTTCAGACAGATTAAATCCTGTGTCCAGTTCTACCTGGCAAAAACAATCTGCACTTACTGGCTTGTGCAATTTTAGTAGGCAAACACTATGAAATACTGTCAACAGTCCTAGAAATTTGCTTTTTGGTTAAATAAAAAGCTGTACAGATGAGAGGTGAGCCAAATTCTCCGTCCAGTACTGCATATTGCTCTCCTGCAGAATACATACAGCACTGGCCTAATCCAAAGATCTAAAAATGGGACAGAAACTCCTCCTATGCCTCTAAGTGAATTGGGAACCTTTCAACAGAGCCCATACACAAGGAGTGTAGAGGCATAATATGAATATTTGCATAATGAAAACTGGCTTAAATCAGAATATCAAAACTCTGTAGCAATTCAATTTAAGTGAGTCTAAAACAAGAATAAATACATTACTTTATTTGAAAAAAACTTTCCTTGCATTAAATAAGTATCACCACTTTGCCATCATTGAAGTGGTCTCTTACAGAAGAAGGGTGGTTTCATGAAGGTTAACTTTGCCAGCTTCTTTCAGTGGTGATAATCTAATGCTTTTAGTCTATAGTACAGGCACGCTTCACACGGAGCCGGCTTCGGAAGCAGCATTCTCTTTCATAGCTGCTTTATACTTGCCCGTCATCTCCTTTGGTAATGGTACCTTCCCAGGGCAGGGGATTTGACCTTTTATTTCACACATACATTCACGCAGGTGGTATTTTTTGGGGCCGAAGGTTGCAGGATGCCGTAGCTTCATTTTTTCTCGTGCTTCTTTCTCAAGTGTTTCCCTGCCCGAAAAGAGATAGTTGCAAAGCAGGCTTAGACAACCGCATTGAGCCACAGCCAAATTATTTCGACTTCGGGCAACTCCCCAAGCCTCTACTGCCCTCCAAAAGGCGTTTCTGTCAAACATGCCCATTCTGAATTCGACTGCTGTAATGTGTTGTCATGGACTGTTTGGCACTTGCGTGCGAGTCCAAGGCAGTGCCCTACTTCCTAATAGGGCTGCTGAGGCTCCTATCAATCATCCAAGCATCACAGTGTCACACTGTTGACAGACTGAGCAACCCAGTCTCTGCGCTAGTCTTGACAGCAGTGGGATTCCTTTCCCTTCTGTAGGTTCCAGCATTTCTGAGCTGCTTGAAAAATGCTGCCAAATCTTGGCTTTTAGGTCAAGAATGATAGTTATAAATAAACCTGCATCAAGCAATGCCTACCACTAGATGAGCAAACAGAGAACCCCTTTCTAAAAAAAATATATATATGTCAGTTTACAGTGAGCAATCATACACATCAGAATTTAATAAATATGCAAGTTGTTAATAAATCAGTCGTCTATCACAAAGCTTCTGTAACAGCTGCCATTTGGGAATTACATAGAATTCAAGGCTGGAAGGAAGAACCGAGAAGGGTACCCCAGCCACCTTGTGAAGATCTCTTAAGGCTTGTATCTACACACCATGCAGCAGCACTGAAAAAGGCAATTCTGTGCTACAGATTATTAGGAAAGGACTGCAAATTAAATGGCAAGTATAGTAATACCCTTGTGTAGATTTTTGGGACATCTGGACTACTATGTACAGTTGTCATCCCATATCAAAAAAGTTACCATCCAAAGTTAGCTCATAATGAGGTTGGACCACCTTCACTACTAGGAATATATCTAATAGTCGACATGGCCCATCTGTAGATACTTAAATCCACAGGTGGGTCATGCAGAGCAAGGGTAGATTTTTCAACAAATGGGGTTCCCCCAGATTTTCAGAAAAATCTGAAGGTGTTTTTTTAAATGTGGAGGGGTTAAGTCCCGCCCCCCCCCCCAACCCAAAGGGAATTGTCTGCACTTGCACAGGGCCATGTGCCTCTGTGTGGCAAATGGAGTGGGAGCTGCCCGCTGCCTTAGCCTGACAGGGAGAGGCAGTGGTGATGGCAACACGAGTCAGACGAGGGAGGGAACAGCAAGAGCTGGTATGCCCCTTCCCCACGGAGGGAGCCTACGGAGGCCATTGGCAGGCTCTCAACATGTGGACTTCAGCATCTGTGGAGGAAACTAGAGGGAGAGAGTGAGGGTCTGTTTGGGCAGAAGCGAGGAAAAGGAGGACAACCGTGCACTGCCAGTTACAACAACAACAACAACAGCAGCAGGAGCTGCCTGTGGTGCGGAACAGGAGGGAGTGATGGGGTCAGAGTGCTATCGGGTGGTGGGTGGAATGGGTGCCTGAGCCTCTGCCAGTTGAGCCAGGCTAGAGAAAGCGACAGTGCTGCAGGCTGATGGACAACTGATCATGTGAAAAGGAAGGGGGAAGAAGAGAGTAAGAAAGACTGAGAGAAGAGGAGGCAAAGGCAGGTGGAATGGGATGCCCCCTCCTGCATGAGTTCTCATGGATCCTGTTGGTAATAGCACAATCAGGACACGTTCTCAAGGAAGAGGAGGAGGATAGAGGATATTAGATTTATACCCCGCCCTTCACTGGGAGTCTCAGAGCGGCTTACAAACTCCTTCCCCTTCCCCTCCCCACAACAGGCACCCTGTGAGGTAGGTGGGGCCGAGAGAGCTCTGACAGAAACTGCTCTTTTTCAAGGACAGCTCTTATCAGAACTACGGCTTGCCCAAGGCCATCCAGCCAGGTGCAACTGGAGGAGTGGGGAATCAAACCCGGTTCTCCCAGATTAGAGTCCCCGCACTTAACCACTACACCAAGCAAGACCAGCCAAATGCAAACCGAAATACGAAGAAAAATTTACAAACCTTATGAAAAGTGGACAAAAAAAGATCACCTTCTGATTTGGTACCAGCAGGTTTTTCCAAATCTTAGGAGCCATAGCAGTGAAGATCTAGCCATCAATGTCTTAATATCTTTAAGAAAGGGGGTATCAAGCAGGGACTGATCTGCCAATTATAACTGGAGTATAAACCACTTCTGCTGCACTTAACAGTAAGGACTGGCTCAGACCCCTGCACAAACCACAGCTGCTGCAGTTGGGGAAGAAACAAGCCTGTCTGGATTCTTATCTAGGAGTCACTTAAGTCTTAAAAATAATCAGGGTTTCCCAAAAGTGCCACTGATGCTCACATACATGAGAATAAGGTCCCCTTAGCTGGGACTATAACTTACTAACAAGATGCCTCACTCACTCTTCAAATATTTCAGCAGTCATGATTAGGGATTGCTAGAAGCTACAAGGATTAAGCTGGCTTGGCCCAAGCTGTCACCCTCCCCCCTCGGCAAGCCCTGCCACAATAAATGGCAGCGATGCAACTGCACTGCTGTTCTAAGGACTCTCCTCTCCCAACCAGCCTTTGATGGTTCCCACTAAACACATGCTCCTTCTGAGTGACTCACAGGCTGATACTATGCATGAGGGCTCCCCAGTAAAGTCCCACTGATTACAGTGGGTCATCCCTCCAAGCATGATGAGTACCACCCTGTTTTCCTAGCAAAATTCAGTGCCACTGACATTTGGTATATTAAGGCTAAAAGGACACCAAATTTAGATTCTTGTCTCTTTTTGCTCTCCCATTGCTCCAAATTTGAAACACACTATATTTAATTCTTTTGAGTGTCCAGACTTAGTGAATAAAACAAGCAGCACCTCCTCTTTGTACCCATCTAGTGTGTTTTAATTCAGCCCTTCCTTCAAACAGCTGAGGACTGCATATATGGCTCTCCCTTCCCCATATTATTCTCATTGACAACCCAGTTAAGTCAGGCTGAGAGTAGCATAAGGATACACAGTAAGCTTCATAGCTGAGTGGGATGATTTGAACCCAGATCACCTGGAGTCTAGCCCAACATTTTAACCACCACAACACAGCAGTTTTTTTGTAGGCATACTTACTCGCTTTTACCAATAATCTTCTTAATATGCTGCACAATCTCTTTGTTAGTTTTTTCTTCCACATCAACAAGGACTTGCTCTCCACTATCTACAAAAAAAAAGTGCACTACAAAAAGTGTGCCTGTATACATTCCCCCACCACCCAGCAAAAACTACCATTTATTGCTTTAAATTCCTGATGTGCCTCATCCTGAGGGTGAGAGGTGTAATGCATTTGCATTTATTTATTGATATTGCATTTTTCTCCCCAGTTGCGAATCAAAGCAGAACTTCAGAACATTGTTCTTCCCTTCTCCGTTCTCCCACAACAACCCTGTGAGGTAGGTTAGGCTGAGGGTTTGTGATGGGCCCACGGTCACCCAGTGAGCTTCCACAGCAGAAGTGGGAATTTGAACCCAGGTTGCCCAGGGTCCCAGTTCGCCACTATCCACTACACCATACCAGCCCTCAAACATACTCAGAAGCAACAAAACAGAAATCTGCCATCAGCTGTCCCATCTCCCAAAATCAAAACATTTTGTTACAACACTTTTGAGTTACTCAAGAGTTTCTTATGTTAGGATGCTGTAAGGCAAATAATAAACCACATCCTCTGAAAGTTGCAACAGTGGTTCAAAGTATGTGTGGATTTGAATGTTATACAAGCACCTCCTCCTGGCTCTTATGCACAGGGATCAAATATATCTTGTTAGCTCCTGATGGAAAGTGGAATAGAAATATTCTGAATAAACAAAATAAACTACAAATCTACAAGGACACCTGAGCAGATTAAAGGCTCATAAAAACATTTTTTCACCACTGGACCGGGGGGGGGGGGGGGGGCTGCCCTCATTGTATACAAACAACCTTGTGAGGTAGGTTAGAGCTTCGAAGACTCAGGTCTATATCCCCCAGCCATGAAGTTCATCAGGTGACCTTGGGTTAGTCTGTCTCTCTCTCAGTCTAACTTTTCTACCCCACAGAAACTAAACTGGGGGAGGGGGAAATCATACACATTGCCCTGAGCTCATCTGAGGAAGAGTGGGATAAACATGTGACAGATAGGATAAGCTGAGAGACAGTGACTGGTCCAAGGTCACCCAGTGAACTTCAGCACTGACCAGGAATTTGAACCCAGGTTTCCTGTCAGTGTTCAGTATTCTAGGCACTACCTCACAGGTAATACTTTGCCTTCCCTTCTGCTTCTCTTAATCTAACTAAATTAGAGGATTTAGCCAAGGTGCCCTGAATCCTCAATACAAGGCAAGCACTGGGGCACTTTGCAGCAAACTGGGCTGGTACTTACTCAGGTCTACAGAGGTTTTCTGAATTTTGTAAAAGAATAAAATGCCAAAAGTGTTAGCAATACAACAGAAAGTCAGATGGTCAATTCCCTACTCTAAGATGCTCTGAAGACATGACTGGCTTGCCTTCTTCAGAGATTGACCTTACAGATTTCCCATTTGCCTTTTGCAGGGTTCTAAGCTGTACATCTCAAAAACATCTTTCCATCGGGAGGGGGGATTCACACACTCCAGCAAACGTAAAACAAAATCTCCACTTACCTAAGTAGAATTTTATGAAAGGTGAAGGTGTCATGTTCTTAAACATCATAATCTGGACCCAGGGGTTTTTATACTGAATCTGAGGTATATTGAAAAAAACAAATTTTCTACAGGGGAGGAAGAAAAGGGGGCACAAATCAGGCAGACATGCATGTCAGAGGACACCTGCAAAACTTATGACTTTTATTTATTTATTTATTCATTCAATTAATACCCCGCCCTCCCCACTGAGGCAGGCTCAGGGTGGTTTACATAAAATGCCACATGTAAATGCAGCTAAAACCAAACATAAAACAATCTTACACAATTAATTTATCAGTTCACATAAAGTACTGGAACAGTGATCTCATAAAGTACTTGAACACTAGATCTCAATTTAGAAGTGCTACTTAGGTGCCAATGACAGTCATGTTGGCATTTTCAAACCAGCTCAGCTTATTCAAGTTCATTATGCCGCGAGCACAGGCTGTAGGTGGCAAGGCCAGGGCACAGGTCATTCCTCTGGTGTTTGAGGCAGCTCCATGATTGAAGGCCTGGTGGAAGAGCTCCATCTTGCAGGCCCTGCGGAACTATAAAAGGTCCCACAGGGCCCTGATCTCTTCCGGGAGCTAAGACTTTGCTGCTAAGCAAGGCTGGGAGGAAAAGGTGGAAGATGTGTAATTCAGTACAGCAGAAGAGAAGATTCTGTTATACACACAGCTTATGAAACACTTTGTACTCTGCCACTGACTAACAGGTTTAACTTAATAGGTGCACTTAGCACTTCCATGGTGCATATGTTAAGTGCCATTTATGATTCTATCATCATGAATGTTTTCAGGTATTAACTTTGGTTCATTTGTGACTGTTGTTTGGATGCATGCTGGGAAGGTAAAATGCTGAAGCTTGTGACCTTGCTTGTTATGGCCAGCTGTAACTGTGCATGTCCCTGATGTCAGTTAGCTTGCGTTAGATGGAAACCATACTATGTGATGTACCCATATCTGTTACATTAGATACTTTTTAATCACTTCATAGCCTGGGAAGAAGAAGGCCCATTGTTCAACTGAAGGAGGTATATTTTTGCCTGAGAAAGTCCAACCTACAGGCCTGGGCCCAATCAGAATAGTGTGACGGATATATGACAAAGTTTGATGGAACCAATAATTATGATTTATTTCTAACTGTCAGAAGGGGGTATAAAACTTTATGTCTCCCATTGTAACCCTAGGGAGAGCTGTGGGGTCCAAAACCTTATTGGATCTGCACCTCCCTCCTTTGTTGATCAATGAAGTACAAGATCTGATTCTGCTCTACAGGATTGTACTGTTTTCTCAAATTGGGCTGGGGAAAAACACACACTCAGACAGGATTATTTCCTGTACATCAATTCTGAATTTTTTTAAGGCTCTATAAATACAGATTCCAGCAAGGTAGCTGTGTTAATCTGCTCCAGTTACAACAACAAAAAGTCTTGCAATATCTGAAACAGTTATCATGGCCCAACTACCTAGGTTTAATATGGTTGCCACAATAAAGCCATTAGTCTTCTTTAAGGTGTCACAGCACACTTATTTTTTGACCCCACCTTCTCTCAACTCAAACTTCAGAGGGGGTGCTACAGACTTAACTTGGCTACAAGACTGTGGGACACCTCAGACAGGCATTTATTGTAGTAGCATAAGCTTTCCATGGGATCACAATTCACTTCGCCCAGCTGCCTGGCCAGCCTCAAAAATGGCACAGAAGAACGGCATACTTTTCAGTGTGGCATTAGCTTTTGTGGATAAGACAGCGCTTGCGTCTGCTAAAGTGAACTGTAGGCCATCCTAGACTTGTCTTCAAGGGGTCAGAAGGCTGAAGGTAGGGGTGTGTGTGTGTGTGTGTGTAGGGGGGGGGGGTTCTAGCGGCGTTTCTATCTCCTCCACTCACATGCTGAGGGGCCTTTCCAGCTTGCCTTGAGGCTGCTTTCACCTGCTTTACCAAACGCGGACGCAAGCACACTACACCTCGCTTGTCCATCGCAGCAGCACCTTTACTGGCCCCATGCACAGCAAGGTCAGAAACAGGACCCCCTTCGGTAGCCCACGGAGGGCGCTGAAGCCTCCCTTGGGGCTGCACTCACCTGGCTCCCTCGCCGAGCTCCCCAAAGGTGTTGTAGTTCACAGTCATCACCTTCACCGAGTTCTTGAAGACGACGTCCCCCTGGTTCAGATACTGCAGCGTCCTCCTGATGGGGAATCTGCCTTTCATAGGCATGATGGCAACACCATGCAGGGGAAGAGCACCACGCAGCTTCCAGCCCAAGACGAAAGCAAGCGAGCAACCAACCCCCTTTCTAGTACCAAGAGGAAGAGGAAACCCCAGGGTCCCGGCTCGATCGCAAAGGGTCACGGGTAATGTAGTTTTTTTTTGAAGAAGAACGAAGAGTGAGGCACCGTAAAAGAAGTAACATATTTTTATTCTAGCACTAACGTGCATGGATTAGAGCCCAGTTCTTAATGTGTATATTAGATACATGAAATGGCCTTTAAATCACGAAAGCTTATTCTGGAATAACATTTGTTCGTTTCCAAAGTGCTTTAAAATTCCTGCTTATTTTAGCAGCAACAGGCAGTCGCAGCTACCGCACTGGAATTGCTACCCAAGGCTGAAATAAGAGGCAAAGCTGGGAGTTATCAGGACTGATGAGGGAAGGAGAGTAAGCAAAACCACTTTCGAAGGGCACCACCTCACAGGCACTTTTGTACACCGGGCTGTTCGTTGCGTATCCGAACAGACTTGGCCTTTCGGGCTAACCTATGGAAGCTGTCTGTAATGACGCAGTGCTGAACGAATATACACTGCGGTTGAGTTAGGGGTACTTTCTGGCATTGCCGATGTGGAATTTGCCCCTACGAGTCCCAAGGCCACCACCCCGGGGCTCAGGGAGGCCGGAGAACGTTTCGCCGCTTGGACATCATAGGCAAGAGGTCATTTTGGCTCCCCCAGCTCTCCTTCGCGGCTCCTTAAAAAGTTATGGCCGCTGCTGCCCTTCTCGGGGACAGCTGGGAGGCACGCGGGGGGGGGGAACCTTCCCTCGCCTCCCTGAGCCCCGGGGTGGTGGCCTTGGACTGGTAGGGGCAAATTCCACCTCTTGCGTCATTCTGGCTCTCCCAGCTCTTGGGAGGGGCTCTTTAAAAAGTTATGGCCGCCTCCGCTGTTCTCAGCAGCAACTGCCATGCCCGCGAAACGTTCCATTGCCTCCCTGAGCCCCGGGGTGGTGGGGTGGTGGCCTTGGACTCGTAGGGGCAAATTCCACCTCTTGCGCGAGAGGTCATTCTGGCTCCCCCAGCTGTCCTTAGGGGCTCTTTAAAAAGGTAGGGCCCCGCCGCCGCCGCTTTTGACAACCAGGGGGGGGACTGCTGAGCTGCCCTCCCCGCCTTTTCCAGGCTCCGGGCCTGAAAAATGGCCTGCAGAGCCGCTGCCTACCCCCTTTTCAGTCTCCGCGCTAGAACATGGGGCCTGAAAAGGGCCAGCTGAATGTCAGTTTCTGTCCCATTATGTCCTATGGGCCATTGAAGTCAATGGTGAAAACATAGGGTATGTTCTGTGGGCTGGAGGGGAGAGAGTTTAAGGGAAAGGCTCCAACCTCGCAGGGTAGCTGCTGGAGCCTCTCCCCAAGATACCAACCAAGTTTGAAGAACATTGGACCAGGGGGTTCAATTCTACGCTCCCCCCAAACAGGTTACCCCTATCCCCTCCTTTGTTCTCTATGGTGGGGAAAAAGTAACTTTTCCCCCCACCATAGAGAACAATGGAGGGGATGGGGGCAACCTGTTTGGGGGCCCGTAGAATTGGACCCCCTGGTTCAATGTTCCTGAAACATGGCAGGTATCTTGGGGAGAGGCTCCAGCAG